TTGCGTACAATTTGCAACTAGGTGGCAACACCAAGTCGACTTTTCCGCTTTTCCCGCTTTGTTGAACCGGTAACAACTCTCCGAGGACGAGATTTATGCGATTGCCGATAAGGACACTCGGCCAAGGAGTCGTCGAGTCAAGTCCTTTGTCGTGTAATGGTGTTCGTAAGCGTTCCCAGCGGCATCTCCTCGAGGCAATCACACTGTCCTTATTACTCCTTGTTTTTCCATTTCCCCTCCATGGCTAGTTGCTGAATTTCCATCTCCACAACGAGTTTTCCTCGAATTTATGGTTCTTTAAAAGCTGATTTCAATTAGCATCGAAAGGCAAACAAAAACTTGTATCCATATTAATTATTCATTTGCGATCCCGGGTGACCAGGCCTTTACAACACATTTTTTGTTTACTCTCTCAGAGAGTGGCATTTTAATTGGCCTATTTCGATTGTTTTTCCCAGTAACATATTTATGATAATGTCTTCAGTTGCTCACCGAAAAAAGGGGGCACAAATAGAAGGGCGTGAGAAGTTGTCGTTGCGCAGTGGAAATACATATTTATGAAAGTTTAAGTTTACGAGTTGCCATAATATTGGCTTTTATCAAAAAAGTTATTCTTGACAATGTCTAGACACGAACATTTTTGCATCGATTTGCATTTTATTAATTTAAGGAAAATGATTTTGGCAAAGCTTTTTAAAGTGTGTTTGTACCAGATCACTTTTAACTTTAATGATAAAAGAGATTTCTTTAGAAAAATTGTATAAATTTATCTGGGTCGATGAGAGTGTATTTTTCATCATTTATAATAGAGTGAAAAATCGAGCAAAAGAAGCAAGTGGTGAAAAAGTTTCTCGCATAATTTACTACTATGCTCTACTTAGCATTCCCATTAAGATTTCGCAGCGAACCTGTGTTGACCTTTGGGTCCCAGCCGGGAAACTTCACGGTGGCCAAGTTAATGCGGCTACAAATTCGCGCTATCATCGCGGAACGCTATCGGCGTCATTCATCATGCGCTGCCAAACAATTGACAACAAGGACGAGGAAGGACAAGGAGGACGACGAGGCGCCAGGACACTAAAATCCACCGAGTAAATCCGGCATTTACCTGCAAATGAAACTTTTGAATTTTGATTGCGTTCCCGTTCGTTTCGCGTTGGTGTTCGTGGAGTTCATTGTTATGTTAAAGTGCTTTCTTTTTATCTGCTCCTCTGTTATGGTAACTCGAACTGGGTCGTCAGCGGTGATGGTAGAATATATATTTAATGCTTTTTGTGGAATCTATTCTTTAATTTATAACTGTATTTTAAAAACTTTGTTTGCAAACAAGTTGGTTTATAATATATATTCTTAAGTATTAATAAATAAACTTTCAAGTGTTAATAAATTTAACTTAACATTTATTTACTTGGAAAATAAAATAAAATAGTAAAATAACTAAAACCAGCATCATTCAATTTATAAAAACATTTATCCTATTTTTTTAGCACCAGAAGCTTTACATTTTTTAGAATTGCCATTAATTGAACTGTAAGAGAAGAATTTCCATCTCTAATAGTTGCTAAGTCGGTGGGTGAGTTGTCAGTTTGGGCACTTCATATGCAAAGTATGATCCACTTAATGCGATTTATAACGCTACTCCTCGGTTTTCGGTGGATGAGAAAATAGGAGGTGGGGTAAATATATATTGGGCAAAGAGTGCTGAGCAAACTAGGTGGGAGTGGGTTTGCAACAGCTGTACTCCGGGAATTTCTCTCCATATACGCCGGGCTCGTTTGTTCCGCCTGTCATGCCCATCATCTCCGGGATTCCCTTCCCTTTCCCCTCCTCCATTCCCGCAATCCTGCAATCCTGCCATCCTGTCACCCGTCAGCGCTGTCGCCTTCGTCCTTTCGCCTTCGATGATGCTGCGCTTTCCGTCGGTTCAGTCGGCGATTATGCCGAGTATGCCATTGTTGCCTCAGCCTTAGGAAATCCATTTGAAATCCCCAGTTTAGTGTGAATTTATACGGAGAAGGTCCGCTTTTCTCCGTCTCTCTGGCTCTGCTTTACTATCTGATTCTGCTGGCCTTTATGCTCGTGCTTACCTCATAAACTCGCTATATTTCGTTGTTTTAATTTAACGCCAAAAGAAAAGAGCTGCATAAAAAAAGGACATCACCTTCTTCGAATATTCCCCATCCCATTCCGCCGCTGATGTAACATAATTGTGCGCGAACGCTTTCATTTAACGGAGATTTTGCTTTTTGGACCTCGATTCGTTGGAGGGAGCGCTCGACGGGGGACAAAAGTAAACTCGGGCACCCGCGTCGTATGCGTAATGTTGTTAGCCATTGTTCTTCGCCCCGACTTTCCCCAATTCCCCGGAGAATTTCGACTGCCGTGTGTACTTCGTCCGGAGGATGGGAAAGAGGATGAAGGATGAAGGATGGCTGCGTTATGCAAGCATATATTTTAACACGAACGCCGGCAATTGCAAGCAGATGTCTCCACGTTGTTTCAGTTCGAGCAAGGGATTAAAATGTTGCAAAGTAGTTAAGGAGCAGTCTTTAAAACGAATTTCAACAGTTCATAGTTTGCCATTAAGAATTAAAGAGTAAGAAATAACTGGTGAATATGTTTATATTAAAAACAAAATGAAATCTAATTCAGTATTTAAATTAAAGGAGTGCCAGGCGAACAGAAACTTTTGATTGAAATATCTAGCCATTCCAAGAAAATGAAGTATGAACTTATGTAGTGCCGTAAGGAAATGTTCTCTTGAAAGTTGTCCGCCTGCCAGTTGGCGACTCATTAGCAGCTACTTAAAAACTACTCGAGCAACAGCTGTCAGCGGTACTCGTACTCACATTCGCACTCAACTCTTGCCACTCAGCCCGAGCAAATTGCCTGCCAGGCCATATTCAAAATGTCGCATGATGGTGGCAAATGTCAACAGAACTCCACATCCAGGTATAAACTGACAGCCGTGTCTCCGGTGGCCAACAAGTCGGGTTTCCCGGGTCCTCTGGTGGTTAATTAAAAAATGGAATACTGCCAGAGGGCCACAAAATACAGAAAAAGTGTTGAGGTCTCGCTGCTGGGAATAGCGAGAATTTTTGGTTTGAGCTGATGATTAATATGGCATCTGCTTTACGGGAGAGTTACACTTCATTAAGTCCTGGTTCACTCCACTTTTTTTCCCTCTCCTCACCTGTCAATGAGCTCATTAAATTGCCATTTGGTAGATTGCTTAGAGGAAATGGAGCTTGTGCTTCACTGATTACCAGCAAGTTATCCGTGTCCAAGTTCCACATTCTCTTATTTTTCTCTCGCTTTCTCGGAAAAGTTAAACGCATTTATAATTAAATATGTCTGGAGTTTTACTTACTTCACAGTTTTGTACTATTTTTCTCTCTTTGGAGTTGCGGAATTATTTCAGTAAGACTGCAAAATTATTATGCTGATAGAAGTGTGGCCAGTGAGGAGATAAAAAGTTTGCAAAGTTATCCTACTCTTATTTATAATTCAATTAGGGATTGGTCTGTAAAAGGTGTTTGATAAACTTTGCAGAAGTTATGCGGACTTAAAGAGTTAACGATTGCCTTCTTGAAATGTAAACTACTTGATTACTTTTAGGTTACCTTTAAGATTGTTAGTTTTAAGCCTTTAAGATAAACCAAAATTAATCTTTCGCTTGAATAAACCACTTTAGTAAACTGCTTTAAAATAATGCAAAGTGTAATCTTGCAATTTAAGAACCATTCACCCATGAATGCGTTTCAATTTCTGATATGTATAATGCCCCGACAGACCAATAAAATTGTCACATTTTGCAGCGTGCTCCTGACAGTTGTTTGTGGCCAACAGCTGCTTCTCCTTCTTCTGAGCCCGGCTCAAACTGGTTGTGTTGTTGGTCCAGTTTATTGCCAGTTGGGAGGAGCGGGAACCGCCCGGCCAATGTTGTTTTTGGGGTGCATGCATCATTGAAATATGTTTTTCGCTTACAGCTGCTGCAGAACAGAACCGAGGCCGAGTGCAAAAATTTTATAGCATCAGGGGAAAGGGGCAAGGGGGCAAAGGGGACAGAGGGGGATCATGCTGTGGTCCAACCACGATACCGCAGCAGGCGGCCGACCCGAAGCCAAACATAAAAAAAGGCGAAGCAGCAGAAGCAAACCCTTCATTAATCTTATTCAATGTCCGGCACATACTTTAACCCATCCCATCCCATTGCACATATGTTTGTGTTTGCCCGCAGAGAGGAGGGGTCGCAGTATAAACAATTTGCACATTTTAAGTTGATTTCTTTGGCATTGCTCTCGGATCCTCGAAGCCTCGAATCCTCGGATCCTTGGCAGCAGTCACGCATTGCATACGTGTGTATTAAGTATACGCCGTGTGCCGTCCTGCGAATTGGCTTTACGGCTTCTGTGGCCACGGAGGAGGAACTTTATGTGCACTACGTGCACCCAAAAAAAGTATAAAAACGCAAACCCAGCGATATCGAGTATCTGCAGCACATCATTCGAAAAAGTAATTTAAAATTATCGTGGTCAGTTCTGAGCCATTTTCAATGTGGGCTGAATAAACAATCGAAGAATTTTGTGAAAATCAATTAGCCATGACATCTGCATAGGTAAATATGAATTAAAATCCTTTCGGATTGGCACACTGCCTCAAGGAGTCAACACTGACTGCAGTTGCTGCAGATGAATTAGCATAGGTGGCCTCAATCTACATGCAAAGTATTTTGCCAATATTGGCATGCATACATTGCGCATACGACGTGTGGACCTCTTGAATTGCGTTCATATTAATACATATAAAATACAAGCAACTATTTGTTTTTGACTAGGGGCTAAGCAATTTCTGCCTGTATTCTAATAAGCAAGATTGTGATTAATGAGACAATCCACTTGTTAATTTTGTTTAAATTTTAATCGCCTTATCCCTAAAGCCAATTTATACTTTAAATTTATATACTTTCATGTGAAATTATTGAATTTTAATGACTCATGTTTCCTTCTCTTATTCAACCTTCATTTAATGTTATTTCCTTTAAATATAAATTGTAAGAAATAATTCACAAAAACATATATAATCACATTTGATTAATCCAGTGAGTACTTTCCCAAACTGGCCACATCGGCACTTGAAACGCTTGGCGATATTGTTGTAGAGCTCTTATTGCACGATATGGAATCGAGGTTGTAGGATTGCAATTTACGTGATGGTGGTCGACTTGACATTCCCTCTGCAATTTGTTCCACAATCCATTTGGCTAGTTTTATTAGAGCCACGTGGGCTACGAATTGCATTATCATTGCACCGAAACCTTTGTAAAGTCCACTAAATCCCTCCGACAAAACTGTTTCTCGATAGCAGTCGAACACTCCGCGATAGTTAGTCAGAATCGGAACAACTGTATAGCCGTTATCGAGATTATCGATAATGGTTCGAGTGCCCTGCAGTTGTAATCGATGCAAAATTGTTTCGAATGGAAAGAAAATCACTTCGGTGGTCAGCATAGCAATAAGTCCCGCATATATGTCCGAATTTTGCTGATCTAGAGTTTTGTCGCTAAACTTTTGTCCTCGTTTTCCCTTCAAATACATAATTCGCCTTCGCATCATGCGAGTGGAAACCCCATGTATTAGCAAGTTGAAAAGATACTTCGTGATGCCAATGGAAACGCAGGGACATATTAAAGCCCAGGCAGGTAGCATTCGTCCTTTTTGTGGGGAACTCCAGTGGAAAAGTCGCAGTCCTCCCTCCCTCAGCACATTAAACAATCCTGTTTTTTCGCTGGCAATGTCACTCTGCACTGTTTTCACCAAGGATGCGGCATGGAATGGAACTACCAAGCCAATGGTTATACATTTGAGGAGAACATGCTGTCCAAATCGCTTTAAGGGAGTTCGACTGTCCGGTTCTTTCGGCCAGCTGGTGAGTTTCGATATGAAATCCTCAATGGCCCAGGACATTCCGCGCACAAGGAGACAGCTGCCCATTCCCTTCCAAAGCGTCATTAGTCCTTGACGTCGGTGGAGATGCACAATACTGGGCAGAAGCGTAAAGGGATGCAAATGATAGTGTTTCGAGGCATTGTGAACTTGGCACTGCCATCGCAACACTACAAACGGATGACTTAACACGTTTTCACTGAGCAGAGCGACCCAATGAACTCCAACAACGAGATACTTGCGGAGTGAGGTATCCTGTTCCTCGTTATCCAAATATTTATCCATCATCGCATGCTCTGAACTGAGATATTTGATTTTGGTTACAGCAGCTTGGTCTGCATTTATGTTTTCCACAATCGACTTCTCGCGGCAATCAATGCTGTCTTTCAAGGTTTTTCTAGACTCATCCAGCCCTGATTCTTGTTCTTCATCTGTTTTGGATTTCAGAATATAGTTGTTATCGCCACCCTCCATCATATTAATGAGTTATTCCTTATGTGTAATAAATATTTTGGGTGGGAAGTGTTAAACAAATATCTATTTGTTTTGTTGTAGTTAACACTATGAAAATCAAAAAAGGAAACTAACAAAACAAAGTGACAAAAAATAATGAGATGACTTGTTACATCATATTTTAATGGTCCTTCACTTTGTGAGCGACACAGGCAAATCCTTTACAGATATTCTCTCTCCAAGTCTCATCATCATTTTTCTCCCTTTTGTGAGGCTCCTCCGAGGACTTTGAAACATGTTTTCCCTTAAAGCAGTGTGTATTGCTTTCAAATCATCCTCAATCTTGCGGCTTGCGGTTGGCTTTTAGTCGGCGGAAATCAAAAGACATATTGTGCGCCGCAGGGCATGAAGTGCATCATGTGGCAAGAGGAGCCGGCAACAATGTCATTGTCTCCGTCAGAAATCGAGGATCGGGGGATCGGACGAAGGGTGCGGAGATTGTCATGCACATTATGCGGGTGGAGGACATTTCAGGAGGAACAGGATCTGTCTCTCTGCCCGAGTCACCGAGTCAATTCATAGCCCCTGCAGCCGACGCACATAAATAAGCCCGGCAAAGTTGGCCACAGTAAAGGGCTTTGATGGATGGGCGGCTGGAAAAAGTGGTTTTCTGGTGGCAAAGTCCGCTAGTTGATTGCGCATTAATTTGTGTGTGCCACTCTTCCCGGCCAAATCCCTTAACCATTACCTCAAGGCTGTCTGAATAATTATTTGCTTTAAGTTTTTCTCACCCAACAATAAAACCCAGCAAAGCAGAGACTTTGGGTTGCACAGAAAGAGAATGAAAAGTTTGAAAAGTAATAACAATGGCCAACTGACTGAAAGTTTATTACTATGATGATGTTGATGGCCAGAATGCATTAAATTAAATACCAACGAAAAGAAAGCAATTCAAATCTGCAACGAGCTTTGCTTTCGTCTGCCGTATTTACATGCAGTTTCCAGTTTGTTTTCCGGCTCTTGTCAACATCATCTAGCCAAAGGAAAACAGACGAAAGTGTTCTCAAATTCTGATTTTCAATGTTGTAAAATCAAAAGGGAATTTCTATAGAAACAAAAGCACCAGAAAACTCCCTTTTTAATTTCAATAGAAAAGGTGAGAATACTAAGATGTTTAAATCGATGTTAAACACGTTAAAGTCCCCCGCATTTAAATACAAATTGTGGAAGTCAGAGGGGCAAGTTCAAGTTCACAGGGCATCGCATCCCATAAAGTATGCAACATAAATTACCACGACCCGAAATCCCTTCCGAGAACGTATCCTTCCGTTTGTTTGTTGCTCTCTTAATGCGATTGCATTTAAATTTATAGCGCCGCCAGCAAAAGTGCTGCATATTCTTGCATATTTTTTTGGTTGTTTTTTTTTTTTTTTTTTTTGGCACTGCAATCAGAAGTGTTTGAGTGCCGGAAACAACTCGTTTTTCTTGACGGCAGCAGGGAGCAACACGTCGCTGTTCGCTATTTCGCTGCCTATCTGCGCTGTTTGCCGCCGGTTGTTGCAATTGTTGTTGCTGCTGCTGCCGCTGTTGCAAGTTGCATGCATTTGCACTTGATAAGCAAACACGAAGGAAGGCTGGCAAGAAAAATCAACACGAGCCGGGAAATATGCATGTTCTTGTTACCGGTAGATTTCCATTTTAGATGGCAAAGTCGTCGCCGTCGCGTTGTTTATATTTATGATTGGGGCGTTGCCACGCCCTTCTCGGGGATGAGGAGCTGCCGTGCAATCTGCGCCTTATGCAAACCAATCGAATCTCACCTAATTGGCTTTTTATATGCGACACATTTTTGGCCGCCCAGCAGCTGCTGCCTTTTCCACTAAACTTCGATCAAGCGGTGGCACAAAAAACTGCAAATGCCATTTGGAGTGGCAAGGACATTGTCATACCATTTTTATGGCACTCCTATTAAACTAAAAACTCAGCTGCAATAAAAGTATTCAAGAAGTTGCTGAGCAATAAGTTTTTAACAATCGACTACACGGGGGATATTTTTACTTTCTACTACTACTAAATAAAGAGAATAATAAAAATAATAAATAAATCCCTAAGGGAAAATGAAAATTCAACAGCATGTAACATTTTAAATATATGCTTATTTATTCGGAATTTGTATTTTATGACCTTTTAGGTGAATTTTCTCTATATTTTCCTTACCTTCATGGCTTTGACGTTCAGCACTTGCAGTTTAATGTCGTTTTCGTTGGTTTTGAACCCACTCCGGCATTTTCGCATATACTCGTGTCTTGGGGCAGAACAAAACAAGTTGTTGATCACATAAAGCTGACTCGAGCCGAGAACAGAGGACGAACCGAGAACGGAGAACAGAGAGCCGGGCCAAAAGCCTCGACCCAAACTCAAACCAGAACTGAACGGGCGTCGCTTCTTGTTTTTGTTCAAAGGGGGTTCAAAGGTAACGCAAATGGGCACGACATGCAACCGGGGGGCGGGTCTCGGGTCGAAGGTGGCCAAGTCTGCCGCCAACAACTAAAACAAAACATTGACATAAATACGTGAGCGCTGCTGTGGCTGCGGTTACAACAACAAAAAAGTTTTCTGATTTTTTTCGTGCTCTTATTTTTTGGCTTGCGAAATGCCCTTGGAAAGTAGGTATTACAAATTGCTGATGAAGTCTGCCGGGAATATATGGCTGAGTGGGTGTGCCGGATTGGAGTGAAGTTTTTCTGGTGTCCTCGGTTTTGGTTGTAAAACTTATTTAAGTGCTTCTGGGCTGAATGATGATGAGTGAGAGTCACTGGGTATTCATGAAAGTGTTTTCACTAAATGATTTACTTTGCGTTTATAATGTTACTATATTTATTGTAACTACTTAAATTAACTTGCAACTTATTTAAATTTAATAAATAGAAACTATATACATTTTAAGCACAATGAATTGTCTTTTTTAAAGGATATCTTCTTACAGTCAAGCTACATCAAAATTATACTTTTTTATTAAAACATTTTTTTTGCCAAAATAATAATTCCCATTTAAAGTTTAAGAGCATTTCTTGTTCCTTCAACGACTCCGATAATTTTTGCCTTTTACATTTCCCATTTCCCTTTCTGCTAACGACGTTAGTTTGTTCATTTTTTCCACCTTGTTTTTGCTTATTAGTACATAGTTTTCATTTTTATGCGACGGCTGCACGAGCTCTTTTTGTACTCCTCGCTTTACCTATATAAATATGTATTTTTTTTGAAGGTTTCTTGCCGACTGGCTTTGTTTTTTAACTGGGCTTGTACTTGGGCCATAAATTTTTAAAACTTGAACGCAAATGTGTGCCGTGGTGTGCATTGTTGATGTCCTGGCCGCACTTGCTGGCCTGAAAATGCAAAGCTGGAAATTCGCTGTGAACATTTCCCCGCTGGTTTATGATGTTTTTTTGTCGCTGTTGATATGTTAATCGCGCTGGGCATGCTATTTTAGTATTATTTGGTCGTTTGTTTAATTTTAACGCCACCTCGGCAGTATTTTTCGTCACATGGTATGCGTTTAACATTAAATTTAATAGATGCGGCAGGGAGCTTTTAATTTTAATTACAACGCGGTGGAAAAAAAATGGTAACCTATGCCACAAAATATTATGTAAATTTGTGATGAGAGAGGGGGATACCTGACACATGGCATACACTCCCACTCCACGCAGCTTTTCAAACACAATCAAAGGTATGCCCATATAAATGCCTCAAATTTTATTGTTTTACGTGAGCAAGGTCCCTTCCATTGTGTGTGTGTGTGTATGTGTGTGTGTGGCATGGAGTGTGAGAGCTCATAAATGGTGTAAGGCGGCCATAAACGCCTCTCAGTCGCCGTGTGTGTGAGTACCTCTGTCATAAAATGTGCGTAAAACTTCCTTGTGGCATTTATTGATAAAACGTTTGGGCAATGAATTCCTATTTGAGAAGAAGGCTTAAAGCCAAAGAGAACAAATGTTATCTGCTGGAGGGTGGGGCTATAAAACTGGAAGATTGCTTGCATACCTGGCATGTCTTCCCGGCGTATTATTTATTCGATAATGATTACATAGATAGTGGAGGCAAATTCCACTCGAGCTGGAGGAGTTGGGATGTGTTGGTTGGGAGTTGGTAATGGTTTTTTGTTTGTATTTGTTGCGTATAACTTTTTATTCAAGCTGCTGTTTATTAGCAAATATTTTCTAATATTGTTTATTACTCATTCTTTGATAAAATAATGTTAATATTAATTTAAATTCCTTTTACAACCAATCCCAAAGCTATCTAATATTTATGCAAGTTTTACGAGTATGCTAAAAAGCTTTTAGTTAATTATAAAAAAAACGATCAAAGTTCTGGGGAGTGTAAGTGCATTTCATTAATGAAGGGTGCATAAAACCCATGCTGCAGTAATGAAGTACTAAAAATGCAAGAAAACTTATTAAACTTTGCCCTGATGCAGCAAAGTTAACTTTTTCGGCATCGCCCAAAAATTCGGCAACCTCGAGAGTAAAATACCAAACCAAAGCAGTCCAGATAAATTATCACCAACTAGCATCTTCTGCACGTTATCGCCAAATGCCAATGGCAGTTATCAACGCAGAGATACAATTGTTCCCAGAAACTGATATAAAAGCGCTGAACAGCGAAAATTTCCCAATCGAAGTGCGTAGCCCCCAACGAAGTGGAGCAAAATGGATTTTCGCCAGCTGCTAGTTGCAGTTCTTCTCGCCATTTCACCAGAATTTACACCTGTTCGCTGTCAGTTGGCCTGCAATGCCAATGGTTTGGCCAGCCGGCAGAAGCGTCTGGTGGTTCGCAGTCCGGCGAGCGGGGATCTGGCCAAGTTGGACTCCTGCCAGTATCGTGTGGCCCCGTGGAGCGGCCAGGTGTGTCAGGTGCGCGTGGACTTCGAGCGCTTGGAGCTGCCGCAGCTGCAGTTGAATGCCACTTCCGGTCTGCTGGAGTGCGTCGATTTTCTGCAGCTTCAGCGTTTTCGTATCTGCGGTCGCAACAGCGGTCAGCACTTGTATCTACCGATTCGTCGCGGTCAGGAGCTGCAGCTTTTATTTCGACTTGCCACGCCCCTCGGCAAACAGTCCACCTGGCAGTTGACCCTCACTCAACTGGAGTGTCCCTTGGATTCGAGTTCGCTTTCTATAAGGCAACCAGAGGTGATTCAACCCACTGTGCGACCCATTTTGCCCTTCTTGGGTAACTTTCTGCCACGCACGATTTTTAGTGGGCAATCTGGTTTAGGTTCGGGCTCTGGACCAGCTGCCCAGTTCATCAAGACCTTGACCTCTCCCTCGATGGCCGATCTGGAGATGCTGGCTCCTCTGGGCTGCGATCAGTACTTCAGAACGGAAACTGGCGGCATTGTGAGCTTCAACTTCGCTGGCGGCACCTACATGCCCAACATGAGGTATTCGATTTGTGTCAGGGGAACGGCAGACAGCGAGATAAGGTGAGTGATTCAGTCCGGTAAGAGGTGTTTCCAAATTTTTATCAACTTGTTTCATGAAGAAGCTACTAGATAAATATTAACAGAACCAACAAAATACCAAGAGAAAACCAAAAAAACAGACTAGCTAATTTTTTTTTAATATATATGATACAACCCCTTTCCAAATTTCAAAAAAAAAAATGGGTTTGGAGAAAATTGACCAAAATTCACTAATTCTAAGTGCGTAACTTTTCCTATTTTAATCAGATTTTGAAGTGGCAAATCTCAAAACGTTTGCATTTGAGTTCTCTTAAATTTAAATTTCTATGATAAAATGGGTTTGCTGAAAGTTGACCAAAATTCCTTATACTCAATCCATAACTTTTCTTATTTATTATACAAATGACTTGTTTCTTTTGTTACTTTTTGTATTCCCAAAAAAAGCTACAAGATCGACCACTTTGCGCTCTCGAAGGCGAATGCAGAGCAGTCAGGACCCGCTTACGACACCGACTGCCGCAGTACAGTGGTGACTCCGCTGCGCGTATCCGACTACCTGAGCATTCCCAACTCCTACATGGTTGGGCAGACGAACCTGCAGGCCACTTATTACTGTGGCAATGGGTTGGCTGGAAGGGAATTGATCGGACGGCCGCCGTTTGTCCTGCGATTCGCCAGTGATTCGCAGTCCAGTGCCTCCGAAACGGGTTTCCAGCTGACCTACTCGGTCCGCAGGAGTTCGCAGGACTCCCCAGTGACCCCAGAACTGTAAATCGTAAATCGTAAATCGGCATCAATAAAGCCGCAGTCTTAACTAAATCAACGCACACAAGTCAACTGGAATTGACATTATTAAATGTTGCAGTGATACTCTTGCTGCGAGCCAGGACATTCCACAGCCACGGATTTGCCTTAATTAAATGCCCAGCTCCGGCATTAAGTCACATGTATCTATATGCAAATAAATTATGGAAAGCCCAGTGGCACAAATGGCATGTGGTTGACAATTATGGCAATATGCGATGGGGGAAACGGCTCCAATGGAATGCGGATAGAATTTCATAGTTGATTATTTTGATATATGCTGAACAATGTCGGGCTAGAACAATTTATTGTTCCGTCTCACAAAGAGAAGGCCATCGAAAGCATTGACTGTGGAATTGTCATTGAACTGGCATAGAGCTCACACTGCTAGTATTTCTGCAGATATTTAATTGAGACATTTTCCGAATTTCTTGTTTTGTCTTTGATAAAATAATTCTCACTTTATAAGTTTCCTAATTGTTTATGTACGACAAATGGAGATATTTCATGAGAGGTACATTTGTTTTGATTTCATAGAAAGTTTTGAGTATTTTGTTTCCTTTAAAGAAGTGTTAGGAATATTAAAATCAAACACTTTCCATTTATTTGTGAGAGTTGTGTTTCGAAAAGTTTAGGTGACAAACTTGCAGCTACTTTCCCAAATTAAGGCCGCCACTCTATGGAATAAATAATATAAATCCGACAGCCACGCCCACGTGCATATTTACATATATAATTACGGACTGGTGTAACTCGTTTGGATATTCTGCCGCGGGAAGGACACCCCCAATTTTCGCCCACCTCCCCCTCAAACTTTTCACACATGGCTGCAGGAGCGGATGCAAAAGCTTTTCCGAGGAGGAGAAGGGCGGAATGCAGTGACATTTTGATGCCGACACAGCTGCCACAATTGCCAGTCCATGTATGTTTAATGAAAATTTAACAAAATTTCTGCGGTTTAAGTGCGAAAATTGTTGAGAGCATACGGCGCAGGTGGCTGATCGATGCGATACATTCGACGGAAGCGAACGCGGAAGTGCGAATTTTTGCGATTCAGTTGATTCACTTTATTCAGTTCGGGAAACATATGCGAGTTGCTCTGGAAAATGTTGAGCAAATAGGGCCTTAGGCCAAACGGATATGAACAGGCATAAATTCAACATTAAAGGAGGAGGGACATTGTAAAGTGTCTGGTAAACAGAATGAAATTGCATTTGCATCGATGACCCGAACACTGGGGAAATTGCCTTTCAAATATGCATAGTCATATGCTCCGACACGATGCCAAACAATGTGAGCCAGCTCGTTTGGGCCAACGTCGACTGCTTTCCCTCTCGAACTTACGTAGTCTCTTTTTGCTGGCCAACACTTTTACACTTTTACCCGCTTAACGTTTCTATCCTGGGGCAAATTGTTTTTGTGCCCGACTAGCAGAAGATGTTACAGCATCTTCGGCTTTCCTTGGGCCATCTTTCGCCCTTGGCTTTCTGCCAGCCAAAGGGAACTTTAGACTGGTCGCAGCCGAAAGCACAAAGAAGACTGGTAACTGGACCTTCCATTACATATTGCATTCGGGCTTAATGGTCACTTCATAAATGCCGGCAATTAGAACGCTCGGCACACACTGCGAATGCGTGCTACAACTTTGGCATCAACTAAAAGCCATGATTGTTGGCCAGGCACGGTTTTAATTGCCAAATTTCGAGAAGCCAGCGAGTAGTGGGTATATTAAATTATTTCGTGGCTTCAAACTAAGTTTACTTATATTAAATTACATCTGCTTTTTCAATTAACTCACTTTAGTTGATAATTCAATCGCTTCATATTAATTTGAAAACCATAGATATTCCTTTTTACTTGTTTTAATTTCCACCAAAAAATGTTAGCCAACTGAAAGTCATAAAAATAAATTGTTTGCCTGGCACTGTAACCATAACCAATTTTATGAAGGGGAATTCGTACAACTCTGGAATGTTTTTTAAATTGAATTTTTAAATTTTTCCCCCACACAAATTCAGCGATTTTTCTCTGTTGTTTTGGCGTTAGCACGAAATGGTCTATGTTTATTTAAGCATTTTTTTCGCTGCAGATTTCCCCTCTGATGCTGTCAACTTTGTAACATTTGACCCAACGCCAAAGGCCCAATGCAATTTACGCTACTAACAAAACACACAAAAAAAAAAACAAACAGATCCGATGCACACGGCATAGAAAATTGTAACATAAATTCCCAAAAAGGGGCAGTTGTGGTTTCATCATAGTAGTTAAAATATCACAAATTATTAATTGCAACCGGATTTATTTGGCTAAGAGTTGGTAGCTAAGCTGAGTATAAATGTTTTACAAACTTTTTATAAACTACTTTTCTTTGTAATCTGCTTTTAATTTGTTATCATTGTAAGCAGATATTTTGGTGGCAATAACTGTGAATAGAGTTGAGTGCTGATTTCACGGACACAACAAAAGCTGACCTTAACATTAACTTGATGTTGGCCTTATCGCGGCTCGAAACAGAAGCATTTTCACAAACTTAAAGGCCAATTAAATAACATTAAATTGTGCGAAAAATGAACCCCACGCCGAACAAGTCCTTGAGCCGAGTGCGACTGTCAACATGACAAAGGAAAAAATTAAGCAGCTAAACAGGGTTTTATGGACGGTCGGCAGAAATAAACAAACAAGTCGGGGCCAATGGAGCCTCCGGAAAATCTGTAAGCCAAGGCAACATGACACTGGCCGGCTCACACTTAAACACACTCGGACTTGGCCGACACACAATGGCCGAGACCCAAGCCAAAGCCAACAACATAATCTACGGGTTGTCAGCAGCCCAAAAGACCATAAAGGCAGGCCAAACGAGCTGAAGGTCGATGGGCGGGGGGAATGGGGGCGGACCGGGAGGAGCAAACAAATTAGTATGCAAGTCAGGCAGCAGATTAGGACACCGAAGTTTTCGCGACATAAACGGACAGCAGGCCACAATGGAAGGGCCCGAACAATCCCTCACCCATCCGGGACTTGAGGCTCTTTTTTCTTGGTTTTTCGGATTTGGCCGAAATAATGAAGTCGGTCACCGACGCGATCTGTTGCTTGTTATGCCTAGAGAAAACCGCAGAGGCATTAAAAAATGTTGTAGAAAAAGCAGGTGCGTACAAGGATTCTATTTGTGGTTACCCTCTTGGGTAAAAAACATGAAATAATATAAAAAGTAGGAAATTCATTCATAAAAACTGTGCTTTGAAATGTTTTCAAATTATTTTTTTTTAGGATTATGTTCAACTATAGTATCACAATTTAAACTGCAACTCGAACCAAAAAAATTTCTCTTCCATTTTTTTCACATCACATAAAGCTCACACCCTGAAATTATTTACTATTAGGTATCATAGGCATTCAAAAAGTATAAAAACGTCAGCCAGTCTGAGTACCGCAACAACAAATTTTCCAAAGTTAAGCGCATTTGTTGTTGGCCACCTTTTATTCGGCCGACAGACTGTCATTTTAGGACCGTGGGTTAAATGTTTCATTAAAAATTTCATGCGCAATTGCACATTGCGGTGGTTTCTTGACTACGAAAAACAGCTTTAAGGGCAATAAATCTAAAGTCAACCCCTATAAAGTTACCAAAGAAATTATTCCATTTAAACTGAGCTTGAAACAAAACACTATCCGAAAATGGCTATTAACAATATGTTTCAGACTAAAATAAATAGAGAGTCTTTTAAATTTACGTAAACAAATAATAAACGGCAGAGACATGCCCGTAAATCAAATGCTGGGAAACATTTAAAAAGAAAATCCAATAAAGTGGTAAAGGCAAAAGCATACAGAAATAATAAACTCAGCCTGCTGGAAAATATATTTTAATAAATATGTCGGAAGCCTTTTATTGAAAATGTCTTTGGCAATTTGTCAAGATTAAATTTGTAAACTGAAGTGAGCTGGAATCTTAGCAATATTAAAGTCTCATTCTGAAAAAGTACAATAACCAAGTTCTGTCAGCTCTATAAAAAATGAATACAATAGAGTATGACCTTTTTCTTACATTTATTTTTTATGATTTGATTTGTTTTCAGTTGTTTGAATATCTTTTCTGCAAACCTTGTTATTTGTCTATGGAAATACTTTAACAATGTATTTTTATTACCCCAGTTTGCTCACTCCAGCGGAGATTTTGTTAAAGTTATGGCCGACACATACTGGCAGTCATATAATTTTCATATTTTCGTACATTGTTTAACTTGCTACTTCGTCCCTTTCGTGGGCCACAAACAATGTGTGTGCAAAACGTAAGTTTGCGTGCTTGGTGCATATAAATTAGTCGCTTATAATATTCTTTTGGCATTTTTCAAATTTCCAGTTCGGTATTTGCCGGCTTTGCCTGGTGAAAGAGTTCGTACGCCATAAAGTATGCAGCTTACGTGCTCAAGGATTTCTGGCCTTCCTTCTTTGCATGGCATGAACGAACAGCAAAAAACAATTATTAACATATTAATAAATTTTAGCATATTTGAAAGGCCATAATTTAGTGTAATTCTAGATGCCTGCAGCTGGGCAACACCTGAACGAAATTGGATAATCTGGCCAAGCACGTAATTTGCATTTTTTATGGCCCGTCTTTAAAGACCTCTGACTGATTACGGCCTTAAACAATGCCCAAAATTTTCCCAAATTATTGACGAGATTATTGTTTTGTCGGCATTAACAGTCTTATCGGTATCAAGTGCACTTGGCTTGTTTGTGCTCCACTTTGGGTTCTTGACAGCCATTGGTCTTTTGTTCGTTGTTCCATTTGTGATTATTTGTGACCAAAAGGCCGACTATAATCATTGTTAGACCCACAAGAAGAAATCCGACTCCCACATACAAGCCAATAGTCGCAGCATTTAGGGCAATCTGTCAGGGAAATATATTAGTTTGGTTTATTCTGCTCTTATATTTGTTTAACCTTCTTACCTTTAGTAAACTGGTGAGACTTTCATCTAGATCTGCATGCATTCTCATGGTGAAAAGTGGTGCATAGTGATCATAAGCCACATCTTTAAATAAGCTAGTTAAGAAATAATTAGTAGAATATTAAATTAATTAAATTAAAAAAATTAAAAATAGCTTTAGCTGCATAATATATTACATTAAAAATATGTTCCAGTTTCTAATTCCTAAATTAAACCTTAATATAACTTACTCAATGGCCTCATCGCGCACAACTTTAGTGCTAATCATAAGTTGTCCCCTCAGCCTCAATGGTATTCCGAGAGTGGGTTCCATTATGACGAACATTCCGTGCTCCGATTCCTGGGGCCTCAATCCCGTGGTGTTCTCCCTGTACATTTCATCCGTGAGGTAAAAGTGCGGATGCGACATGTAGAAAGGACCATCGAAGGCAGGTGGTCCATAATCCAGGACTCCGTTCAGCGGACACTCGCGGTTCTCCAGGCAAAAACAGTTAGTGTCAGGCGATATTTGTCCGTTGTCGAGGGTGAGATTGGTGGACTCATACCGCCAGACTTTAATGCCATCTACAGTAAGGTTTTCTCTGGGGAAAAGGTTCAAATAACGCGCTGCATCGGGAAGGAAAATCGAAGTGGGTTGATCCCACCTTCTCTCCGGTGACCAGAGTTCTCCAGTGCTGCCATTTACCTTGCCACATTCACCGGGATAAAATCCAGTAGAATTCTTGCCATTCCATGCAAGGAGATCCCCCAACTTGGTGCGATCACCATGGCCAGTGTGTATTGTAAAGTTTCCCTCGGCTGTCTTCGAGTTGTTTCTCTCGTAAAACCAAGCAAAAGTGTTGCTGTAAACCGGCAGCAAAGGTGAATGCAACTGCTCCACAAAGTCCAGCAGATAATCGTAGTAGCCATCAAAGAGCCACTGACCAGCTGAGTGGGTCATGTGGGTGGCACCGCCCTCGCGATTGAGGGCAAAGTTCATGACCTTGCGCAGGGTGCGGCGCATTTGGCGGGAATACAAGGCAGCTGTCTAAATGGAATTACGGGATTAGCGGGGATTACTCGATGTGGTGACAGATAGTCGCAGATATTTGGTGCTCCTGATTTAAAGTTGCAAGTTAAATGGAGTAAATTTGGGGAGAGCTTGTGAAATGGTTCTAGATAATTGTGAGTGCTTGTGAACTGGTTATTTTATTGCTGGAAGAACGCAACCAATAACTGCAAATCAGACTTACCAACGATGGAAAATGTGGGGCAATCACCACATCCTCTAGTGAACCATTAGATTTATCGGGCAGGAAATGCCAGGTGCGCTTGCCAAAATAAGTCACCTCGGGCTGATTCCACTCCAAGTCTTCCTTGACCTTAAAGTCACTAAAGGTGTACGGTCCCAGCTGCTCAAAGTTGGGCTTAACGCCCGCGGTGTTCAAATCCTCGGGATTAGTCCAGTTGAAGAGGTAAATTGTGCTGTACACTGGCATCGGAGTGGTGACCCATCGTTTGTAGATAAAGGAATTGGGGGTCAGAAGCAGGAGACTGCGAATCCATTGACGGGATACCGCTGGCCAGCTTGTGACCAGAAAAAGTCCAATAGCGAGAAAAAGGCTTCCAAAGGTAAAAACCCAAATCTTCTGCTGGCGAACACTGCAGCAATTGCAACACATCACGACCGATCGATTTTTGAAACTGGAAAGGCAGCCACTTTAACTCGCTTTATTTATAGGCGAGCCGACTTTTTGGGATACATTGATGTTCGCTGATTGACGCTCAAGATTAGATAGCGAAAAAGGCCCCCCTCTAACATTCGGCTGATTTTACCATTTTAATCTGTGGTGAACTGTTTATTCTTAACAGTTCTGATAGCTTAATCGCCGAAAGCTTCACTTTTCAACACCCCAAAACTAATTTTCAAGAGGTTAATTTTATGAGTTGAGTGAAACTGGTTCAGTATTTAAAATTAGCACAAAGCTTATCAAAAAACGAAATTATCTTAATTGTCTTGGTCTTAATCGGGTGCACTGTAAAAAATGTCATTCATTGACCGAAATAAAGATTCAGTTTTGAAATTTTCAGAGTTTTGTTTATATAAATGTAAAAAACAATTTAAATATTCAACAATGGTTTGGTCAAATGTTATTATTATTAATATCAAAAAAGTTTATAAATATTTATCACGGCTGGTTTTACGAAAATCACATTTATGTGTTTTTTAGTAATACAAAATTTTACAACTAAAATCATTTTTATTTAAGTTTTAGTCAACTTGATTGACCGCTAATTCCGGTTCATTCTGAGTTTCTTCATTGTCCTTAAGAGCCAGCCTGTCTGATTCACTTTGGCCGTACCATTTCCTCTTTACGGTCAATAAAACGCCGACGGCTATAAGAATGCAACCCAGACAAAGGAATCCTATTCCTGTATATCTGCCAATTGCTGGTAGATTGAGAGCCAACTAAAATAACAAAAAATTAGTAAACACATATGTTAAATAAAAAATTGAAGAGAATATTACCTTCAGTTCTGAAGCCAGAGCTTTGTCAATTTCCGCACGACTGGCGGTGGTGAAAAGTGGAGCATAGAAGCTGGGAAGATCTTTCAGTATGCTTTTGAAATTGAAATAAAAAAAATTATAAGTAAGTAACAAATTAATATTTAAGAGGAACATACTCGATAATTGTATCCGACTCTATGTACAGTGTTATCATCACATTGGCATTGACCTTCAAGGGCACTCCCATCTTCCGCTCCATGATGATATAGAAGTTATTTTGATCATAGTTTGGTGAGTAGCCGTTGATCGTGTTGCCATAACTCTCATCGGCGTACATGAAGTGATCTGCTGATAAATACATGGGAACTCCTTCGGCACACGGACTCAAATCTGTGGCTCCAGAGGCAGGACAATTATCCGGTTGCCTTTCCAAAGGACACCAGCACTTCATGTTCCCATTTAGCTGACCATTGTCGAAAGTATTCGGTGTAATTTCGTACTTCCAACCAGTAATTCCCTGGATAGTTTCGCTCTCACCCGTAAACTCCAGATTTATAATTCGACAGGTGTCGGGTATGAAAATAGTTAAGGCCTTTTCCTTCGGTTCGTCGGGCACGAAAAGATCGGTGGTGCTGCCATTTAGCTTTCCACATTCACCCTCGTACCAGCCCGTGTGATTCTGACCCTTCCAATACTTGATTTCACCCATCTCCTTGATGTCGCCCACTCCCGTGTGAACGGTGAAGGGTCCTTCGAAGTCCTTTGATCCGTTGCGATTCAGGAACCAGGCAAAGTGATCCGATTCGATTTCCGGAGCCAAAGGATTATTCAAGGTCATGGCGTAGTGCAAGAACTCATCGTAGAAACTATCGAAGAGCCATTCCGCTGCAGTGTGGGTAACAAAAAGATGTCCTCCATTCGCATTCAAAGCCTGATTGAACATAACCTTTAAAAAGGCGTTGCTATTGCGCATTTGGTTGGCAGCAGCCTAAGGAAATTAAAAAATATTTATATAGAATGTAAAATATATGGTATAAATATTATTTAACCCACCAGGGATGGTAAATGAGGAGCAGTAATCAAATCTGTTTGCTTGCCACCGGACAGCTCCTCCTCCCAAAACCAAGTTCTTCGCGGATTAAAGGTCACTGTTCCATTGTCGTGCCACTCCAGATCCATTTTCTTCCTCTCCTCCCGGTAAACATAAGGACCCAGTTGCTCGAAACTTGGTTTCACCCCGTAAGCTTGGACATCAGCCGCATTTGTCCAGTTCCAGAGATACATGTACACATAAACTGGGATGGGTAGCTCCTCCCACTTTTCAAAGGTCTTCGAAGTGGGTGTCAATTGCAGGGCCTTTAAATTAATCGTTTAGCACCTCCCATTAATTATTCTTCTTGAATTTCACCAGCCTTACCTTCATTATTTGCGTGTCTATGAAGCCTGGCCAGCAGATTACTGCCATGAGTCCGGTGACCACGAAAAGGGTTCCCAATCCGAAAACCCAGACCTTTTGTTGGGTCACTCCACAGCAGCTGCAACACATGATCGGAACAAAGACTTTCAAGCGACTGCCCAGTGGAAAAATCGCACTAGTGCTTATATTCATGCACCACTTAATAGATTATCCACTGAATTTAACGCAGCGGCTAATCAGTATGTCTACTCTAATAATTGCTTGGTTCTGTTTGCTCAACCGATAACGCGAATTGATTGGGATTTAATTGTATGTATTGGGGAATCGGCAGTAGACCCTGATAAATGCACCAAACTTCTTCTGGGTGTTGACTTATCAGCCAGACGAACATAACACTTCCTAGCACAAACTACTCAAACCCCTCGGTAACCGATATCAAATGTTCTAACTTGTTTATTTATTTTTTAATTCTTAATCAGAATAATCTATTTATGGGAAAGTAGAGTACTTTCTAATTCGCCTTATTAAGGCATTCATAACTAGTTGATTAAACTATTAATGCGGTCAACTATTTCTGCCTTGAGTCTCGCCATCTTATCGGTTATATAGTATGTTTTGTTTGTAATTGGAATGCAATTTTACTGTCAGGCGCTACTAAAGATAACTTTCAACTAAGATTGCCCAATCTGCCAAAATAAAAATTCGATTAAACCATCATGGAAAATCATTTTGACTAATCATCTACCTGGTTTGACAAAATGTTGGTTTGCTGCCAAAACGTGATTAGCTACTTTTGAAGCCAAATTATTTCAACCGCAAAATTTGCCGTGACTGCCAGAAAATTAATAACAGCCAGATGTGTATCGTAAATCTTTGTGGCTAATTGAAAGTGCCACAAACCATTTTGATGTAAACATTCCTAATGTCATATTTTGCATTTCAGCTGTGAATCATGACAAAAACAAAGTTAAACTTTAGTTTAAATTGTGATAGTTGAATGTACAAAACTTGTAAAATGCATATTAAATATCACTGTATGGTAATTAAATTACTGGAAGTAAGTTTAGTGAGCTTCGTTCAGCATCCATTCCAAAATGTAGTATGAGGATACAATTATTTAGCCTGAAAGGCAATCTCTACTTCTACTATTTCAATAGAATTTGTTACCTTATGTTGGTTTCCGCCTTGCATTTCAATAAGTACATAATTAGTAGAAATGGCAGGATATCAAAAGCCAAGAAATACCTTGAGATACTGCACTATTTGGTGTTTTACATTTGGAATTGTATTCAATTGAATGAGAAGATACAGGATAAGATAACTAATTAAATTGTCTTTGCTTTTCAGTTTGATTTCTAGGGTTTAAAATTCAAAGAGCCAGAGAAATATTTTGTATAGTAGAATTATAGGAGGAATTTAATTTTTGCTTTTTCCAGGTTATGTTCAGGTGTAAAATTCAGTTTTGTCTTTAATATATATAAACTCTGTTCATATTTAATCATTTTCTGAGTTATAAATATAGTACACATACACACATATATGGATATTGGATTTGCTATATAGGAAAAGTACGACGACTGCAGTTCAGAACATTTCAGCAACACCAGCATTTTTTAATTCGTTAATTCTCGGGTAGACTTGTAGAAATACGCCATTTTGTCTTTAATTGAGGTAGCCATTCATATTTAGGCCTCGATGGAGCCTTCGGCTTCCAGTTGGGCCTTGCGGCTTGGCTGCAAAAGTAATTCATAATTTAAAAACATTAATAAAATGGTTGCAAGCATTCTTTTTACCTTCGGGTGCATCAGAATGAAGGGCAGCTCAGCACAGAGCTCACCGCCCAAAGCGCCCAAAAAGAGTTTAACCTTCACAGCATAAGAAACAATTATGCCAAAAGCATCCCTGGCATCCTGACTGGCAATTCTGAAAGGGAAATATAAATTTTATAAAAAATTTATGTATCGTTGAATTAAAAATATTTAAAGAATATTTTCTAATACTTAATGATAGATATTTCTTATATTAAGAAAGTTGTGGGTTAGTTTTAATAAAACTTAAAAAATGATTAAACCAGTTATATACTTTTAGAAATGGAATTAGTTTCTTTAAACAACATTAATGACTCAGAAAATAAAGCAGATAAAATTAAAATAAATTAAATTAAAGAATTCAATCTTAGAACCAATGCTATATATTTCTTAAAATACTTACAGGGTTGTTGAGGCCAGAGCAGTTTCCTTTCGCTTAATATCCCCCTCCACAGCGATTCCTGCCCGATCGCAATTGGCCACCAGAGTGGGCACCAAGTACATGACCTTCTGCAGACTGGAGCCCGGATTGAGGGGACATCCCTCGCTGGTCTCCATGAAGGCGATCGTGTTGCGGAACTGGCCGTTCTGGAAGAGCACCACATCCACTCCCTGCTGCACCATGGCCTTCACCTTCTTGACCACCTTATTCGAGTTGTTGCGCACACAGATGTTTACCGAGATCTTTTCGCCATGGTGGTACAACTGCTTGTCCAGGGTGACCTCCAGTTCGAGTTCTCCGGGCGAAAGGAGGAAGTCCTTGCGGACAACGGTGCAGGGCTGAATGCCCTGTTTGGTTGGGGCATACTGCACCTTGCGGATTCCCAAGTTGATGGTGCTGCGACGATGGGAACGATCGCAGTCACTGTCTCCGGTGAAGATCTTCACGAAGTACTGCACTCCGCAGGGCTGGCTTTCATCGCTCGCCTTCTGCTGGAGGACCACCGATGCCGGCGAACTGGGCGGCATTTGCATGACGAAGGGGAACGCATTCGAGCCCAGTTTCTTGAGCAGGCGCTCCTGCATCTTGGTCAGCTGAATATCCTGCTTCTGGGGTGGGCACACCTGCTGCGAGACCAGGGTTAGCTCCTTTTGGAACCTCAGCCCAATCATCTCGTCGTCCTCGCGTCCATAGCGGAAATTGCAGACCAACTGCACGAAGATCTTGCGGTTTTGGCGCACGTACTCATCGTCCAGAACCACGATTCCGTCTGCAAACGGGATGCTAATTAATCGGGGATTATGGAAACAATGGCCCAGTCGAATGGTTGCCTGGTCACGTAACTAATAAGCTGGGTTAATGCAACAGACTTGGATTGCATAAATTACACAAGAATTTAGTTGGGCCCAAAGGGAAATTCATATTAGCTTATCCAGGGCATTTCAATTTGATGGGAATTTAATTCAGTTTAGTTTGTTATTAGATTCAGGACAGTTAAAACTTTCTTTTTAAGCAAACTAAGATTTGTTTATTCCTCAAAGCCCTTTAATTTTAAAAACATTTTTGTGGAGACACAATTGTTTTTTGAGCTCAAAAAATGTGAGCATTTAAAGCTATTCATTTTTCTAACATTTCAGTTTTTGGAAAAAAAGTCATCTAAGATATATTTATTCCGCAATTCATGCAATTTAGCCCAATTTTTTTGAATACCTACCAATTGGCTCCACCTGCGTGACGGAATCCACAAAGTCACGCCTGTTCATGTAGAGCGTGATCATGTTGTTCGGAGAACATTTCTTGAACACCTTGAAGTTGACCACCATTTTGAAGCCGTTTATTCGATAGTTTCTGCGGAAGTGGTGTAAATATTTAATGTGAGTTTAACGTTCCGCGCTCGTGTGTCTCGGGATACGCCGCGTTGCGTGGTCCGCTTGACTATTAATTAGCGCTCATTGGCAATCCGGCATTTATACCTGGCATTGTGGCACCTGTCGCCCCTGTAAATTCAATTAGCAGCGCAGCAGAAATTCAGCGGTTCTCCGGCAGCGAACTGCTACGGCTTCCACAACCTTGCCACATAGAGTCTTTGATATTGACATTGCAGCCGACGAGCGAAGTCGATGGCTGGAACATTAAATAATGCCCGAACAACGCCGCGCATTAGCAATGCAGGGCACAAAAGCACAAAAATAGCCACCGAAATCAATATAGTCTGCGTATTTTGTTGGTTTGTTGTTTTCCTCGCCGGATGACGTATTTATATACAAGTATTACGTGCTGCCCGATTTCCGTTGCCTGTTTATGTAATTCTTTTTAATTTAATTGAGGCTTTTACAGCCAGCCCTCTGCTAAGTCTTGATAAGCGGGTAGCTTTTATGGCAGTTACGACTTTGAGTTCTTACAGAATGTGTTTAAAAATTACTGTAATTAAAAAAGGTGCAATAACCTTCTGTGAATAATACGATGCCTTTTTTTTTTATTAATATATGTAATTATTTGTTTAATAAATTAAATAATATTCATAACAATACCTTTGAAAAATTATTTGTCTTTTATCAAACAAACTTTAAATGTTGTACTTTGCTGGAAGTTTGTCTCCCATAGTTTATAAACACATTTTGAGTGAGTAATCAGGCATAAGTACTTAAACTCCTCCAGCAAGTGCTACTTAAAGAACGTGCACATTCAATTATGTAAAAATATTCTATGCAAAACTCAAACCAGTCCCATTTCCATTTTATGCAATGAAATCACATTAGCATAAAGTAGGCTACTTAACAAAGTCAATGAACGTAATTATTATACTCCTGACATTAAAAATATGAACAAAGTTGTGTGAAATATATTGTTCTTTATTGTGTGGTTTGGGGCCAGTACAGTCGGAAAAGTGGGATTTTTCCTCTTACCATCCTCTCATATTCGTGTGTGGAAAAATGGAGGGGGTAGAGTGGCGGCGGACAGTCGCCAAGGGTCCAACAAAACCGACAATGAGGCCCTTAATAATAGCAAAACTTTTGCACTCACGACGTGTGGGCCAGCAGGAAAATGGCGCTGGTTATGGGCTTGTCTCTCATTTAAATACATTACAAGTGAACTTTCCGAGAGGCGTGGACACGGCCTCTTCCTGGGGAGTTGGCAATATGTTGTAAAATGAGTCGTGCTCAAGATTTTGTAGGAAAAATCTAAGGGGCAATTAAATTCAATTAACTTTGAGACTGTGTCCCTAGACTTCTGAAGTATTTTCCTTCAGAGACCCAACTAAATTAGCTGCGAAATAAAGGAACAAGTAATTTAATTTAAAAATCAGTTCACTTCAAAGATTTTGAAGTTTAATTATTTAAAATTTCCAAAAAATGTTTTAGGAAATATTAAAGCCATGTTTTAAGCTGAATGTAGTCTGTAGATGGTTT